TAGCAAGCACCTGTTAATGCTGGCATGGCACACGAGGGGGTGGGTGGCCAGCACCACGCCCGACCGCCTTTGTCTCCCCAGTGGCGATATTTACACACTAGGTACTCATTTAAGTCCGAGTCGACCTAGGGGAAGCCCAGGACCGGTTCAGATGTTCGTCACCTGTGTTGCCCATGCATGAGAATCGGACTCTGATCGCCAGGGTTCGTAGCGCAGCGCGCTCACCGCTGCGCCACCACTCTACACCACCAACACCACCAACACCCGCTGGCACCTCCTGGCCAGAAGGCGCCCGCACTTGAAAGCGGGCTGTGTTGTGGAGGCCTGGGCTGTGGCCGGGGTGTGAATGCGAGGGTAAAGGGTTGTGAGGACACCCAGAGGGGCTTGACCCTCCTCTGACCCCTCGAGGTTTGTTTGGAATCTCCGGGTGCCTCACCCTTTGAAGACCCCCACGGGGGCCACGTGGAGGACGAAAGAGTGCGCGCCACGGAGAGAGGGGCGGCATCTGTGATGCGGTTAGCCAATCGCATGCTCAATGTGTAAACACTGCCGTCGTCATCGTCGCCATCGGTCACGTTTCAATCCACTGCTGGGTGACGATCTCACGCGGCAGGTTTTCTACGGTGACTCCAGATTCATCCTGCATGAAGCGAAACGCTCGTTTGGGGAATTGGCCAACAGTCCAAACGTAGCAGGAGCCTCCTGATAAGAACGCCTTGACACTCAATGCAGCTTTTCTGTAAATGTAAAATGCATCATCACCATTACGAGTCCTGGTCAATGCGGTGCTGGATGAAGGCCTCCCCAAGTCATCACCATGCAAATTAAAAAGATCCCCCGTATAGCCTTGACTGTTGAATGACTTCAGGTGTGGGTAGAGGAGATATGGGATGTCTTTAACCTGGACATGATCATGGCTAATGGGGTTGGCAGTGCCAATTCCAATGGTAAATTGTGTGTGTGTTTTTTTAACGTTACATAAACCTCGAGCAGCCCACCCCTGAGCAATGTGGTAGCATCGAGCACTGGCGAAATCAAATGGGAACGGTCTCACATCCTAAAGTTAAAGCTTTCGTGACTGCAGGGATTCATCTTCTTGGTTCTTTCGGTAAAGTCACGTAGAATAGAAATAATAAAATAATAAAAATAAAACACAATAAAATAATTCTCACGACGTTTCGGCCACAACACAAGCAGCCGTCCTGCTTGCCGAAAGAACCAAGAAGGGGTCTCACATCCTGTTTTGCCGGTGCTCTGCTACGACGTCGACTGTTGCCGCCGCTGCTGCTGCTGCACACGGCAGCGAGTTTGACCATGGGGGCAGTGTACAAGCCATCGCCACTTCCCGTGAGCGGAGCTCTGCTCTCGAGCTTCCTGCTGCCCTGTCCTCCCAGGTGGCCGCACTTCCATTTGTTGTTCCTTCGCCCCCCCGCCGCCCTGCCTGACCCCCCCCCCACCCCCCCTCTGGCAATTTCCCTTGCCAAGTGCCCGCCCAGCCTCTTGCGTAACAACTCGGTCTCGGCTTTGTGTCATGTCCGTGGGCCGAGGAATGTAGTACGTACGTTGAACTTCTTTCGCGCCGTACGTAGCCAACCGTGCTAATCGTAAGGTGCGAATATCGGTATGTACGTGTCCTCGGGCAGGATGTGGAGTCGGCGGTACGGCGGTTGGTGTGTGCAGTGCTCTGAAATCCGGGGACAGGGTTTTCGATTCCTAGCCACGGCTGAGGTCGTCGGCGGCAAGTGACGTCAGAACCGTTTAGTTTGTCGTCCTTCCCCCGGGGTACCTCCGATTAGCGCGGTCGGCTACATACGGTGCGACAGAAGTTCCAACATAGATGCAAGTGCAACTGGTCCCGCTCTCTCTACCTGCCCAGCACCTTGACCAACCCCACCAGCTCGATAAAGGACGGTCAAGCAATACCCCATGGACGAGGTGGTGTGGGGAAGCCCTTCATCCATCGGGAGAGTGAGAATAGCTGGAATGTTTTTTGTTGTTGTTGCTTCATTTAATATGTAAAGACCGTTGTCATTCCACTGTTGGATGAGGCCTCCCACACCGTGTGGATCTTGACGATTATTTGACCATGCTTCACCACCCTGTTTATTCCGAGTTGGTCAGATGGGGGAATAGACGTCCAAACATAAAAAATAGTGTGCAATTATTTATTTTGCTGTTCACCACATAACTCTACAACCTATAACAGCTCATGGTCCAATCACCCAGAAGCTGGAGAGTGTATGCATGGGTCAGTTTGCGCTGAAGAGAGCTTTGAGAATTGAGGTGAGGCTTTCCTAGGTAAATGTAGGGCATGGTTATTCCTAGGCAACTGAAGGGCACTTTTACCATTATTGAATACTGTAGGTCCTGCAGCGAGAGGGAATGGAGAGAAAGTGCCACTCGACTACTGGCGACGTTTTCCCTCTGCCTCAATGCAGACAGGACCCTCCAGAAAACATCTTGAGACTCGGTGACACCTTCATGGATTAACGACAATTATTGCACTTCGATTTTACTCTGATTAGCGCAGTTGGCTATGTACGGTGCGAAAGAAGTTCACCATACATACGTTTCAAGGTATTAGGAAAACAAGTTTAATGTTTTGATTTGTTGACATGCTTATACTTAAGCGTGCGTTTTCTTTATTGAGTCGTCTGAGAATGGAAAAATGTACAAACATTATTATTATTACCATTTACCCCAAGAGGATGGTCCCATACAAAACAGGACATGGTACAGTGCTGCAGGGATGGGCGAACCCCGTGAGTTTGTGATTCTGCGGAAGCCAAAGGAACTCCCCCTCCCTTGCACAGGATCCCACCCTCTGTGGGATCCTGTGCAAGAGACCCGACCCATCATTTTTCCTCCGCGTGGAAGGTCTAGAGAGTGCCCTTTAATTGTTTCCTATGGGACCCCGTGTGGAATCGATGTTGTGTTTGGAGGGTTTTTAATGTGGCTTCGGCCAAACCACACGGGTTTTTGTTGTTGTTTAAATGTTCTCTCGTGTTAACAGTTATTTAATCCATTTCCAGTTGGGTCTGGAGAAGAATAAACCGAACGGTGTGGATAAATAAGTGTTGCAATTTCCAGAACATGCATTTCACAGCATGAAAGGATTAAAGAGAAGTTCTGGAAATGAGTTGCAAAATAACAAGCGGAGTGAGTTCTTTGTGTTTTCTATGCACGTCAATTTAAATATTGATTTTTGCAATCACAATACCAATATGTGTGAATGTTAGTATTGATCATTTGCTATATATAACCGATATGCTAATGTTCCTTAAGCTCATGTCAATTCATCCAAATGTAATAAATTAGATGAAAAATACCAACGAGGCCACCAGTATAAACTAGATTTTTTTTAAAAGCTTCAAGCTTAGATAATGACAATGCATAACATTTCTGAAGGTGTGATGATGGATGACATGCCTGTCGTGTGCCAACTGGTGTACAGTATAGCACACGAGACGTGTGTGTAGTATGAAAAATAAGAGTATAACTTTAGATTCAGTAGAGCAGTTTGGTTATCATGCGCCCACATAGCCGTTGCCCTGACGTGTTGAACAATGCATTGGTTCGTTGATGAACAGTTGATTCTTAGGCTCGCAATACATGCATCAAACATCCCCGTATGAGCATCGATGTTTTTTGTGTGTGATTCGTATGTGTTTGGCATGTCGTGGGTTTAACAGGGTGCGTCGGCGGTGCAGTGATTAAGCGGACTGCACTGTGAACCCGTTGCCCCGAGTTCAATTCTCATGATCAGTGGCAGGCGATCTCTTAACTGGTCTTAGCTCCCCGTCCACTTGCACCAGACCGGTAGCGCGACCGGCATGGCGATTCGTGGTCAAATGACGACGAAGTCTGCACGAGGAGACCCTTCATCCAGCAGTGGTTTGAGAAGGGGCTGGTACAGTCCTTTCTCCTATAACGCATGTTTTCATCGCATGAATTGTATATAGAATGCAATGAACGTTTTAGGGAACACATTTTTATATGACGCGGCTGCGAATTGGGTATACAACGCGATTCTAGTGAGCGGAACTGTGTGGCGCGAGTAGGAATACACGGTTGTACAGCTGCCTTTGTGTGGCATCGCACAAGGTGGGATGCTGCTGGATTCCTCTCGATGCGACCCACGTGCCTCGGTCTTTGTCCAGTCCTGAATATGTATATCACGTGTTTATCGCAGACTGTGCTTTACCCTATGTTATATATTATTTATTATAACGTGATTTTTCCATAACGGGGTGTTCTTCAGGAACGCAACTCTCGCATTATAGGACAACAAACTATATACTTAACCCAGTTTCAACACCACCCACTACAGCCACCGCTACTATTGACCACATTGTTAAACAATTGTTTTCTTGAATTGGCCGCGTGGGGTGTGGTGAGAATGGACCCTGGCGCAAGCAATGAAATGAGGACCTCTGTCTAATTTCCCTCCTTCATCGCTCGGTGCCTGGGATTCACGGCCAAGTGGGGAATTGGGGCACCACGGCGGCGAGATATTCAGAGGTTCCATGTTCTCCACGTGGTCGCGTGGATTTTTCAATTGGGTCCTCCGATTTTCTTCTCTCCACGTTTCGAAACGGTGTGCATCTCGAGTATTCGGCTGCATCTAAATGTCCACGTGATAAGCCACTTTGTTTACCTATCAGTTGTGGCTAGGTCGCTTCTGCAAAAGAGCTCTAACTCAGTGGGCCTTACCTGGTAAAAAATAATGAAGTCCGCTCCTACTCAACAACTACCGGTGCTGTCCCACATGATCCCACCTGCCATCCGACGCGATGCCGCCATCTTGAAACCGTGACCCTAAATAGGGGCAACATTTCCTTTTCATTAAGGTGTGAGGTCGGGTGGGTGTGAGTTGTTCACCACCATTACTCTTCATCAATGCCTTTACAGCAAATCCGCATTGTAAACAACGCGGCGTTTCGAATGCTTTGCAGTCCACGTGACCGCCGCTGTGTGCTGCTGTGGAACGTGTCTTCCAGTTTCCCGAGTGCGGCTTCTACGGGATGTTTGACAAGATCCTCCTCTTCCGGCACGACCTGAGTGCCCACAACATCCTGCAGCTGCTGACGTCTGCCGACGACATTCGGGATGGAGACCTGGTGGAGGTGGTCCTGTCTGGTGAGAGCACGGGCTGGGATCACTCGTAGGGGATGTTTCTCCCGCACTGCCATGCCGGGCACGACAGTGAGAGTGGCTCGACAACGACATAAGAGATTGGTGCCAGAAAGATGTGGCACTACTTGAGGATGTTGGCACAAGACGGAGGAAAGCGGAGACAAATGACGAAATGTGCAGTTGACACCTGTGGGCAATCTGTTCATGGCTCGTGATGATGATGGCAGCTCACCCTGGTACAGGCACAGCCTGGGACTTCTTGCTGGTGCAAAGGCCTCCATTAGCAGATGCTCTGCAGAGCCCCTCTAGAGAGTGTATATAGGCCTACTCTTCCAGGCTGGCCAGGTGGACTGGCAGAGGTGGGAGCACACCCACACTTTACCCAACTGCACGCGACCGGCCCATCGTTGAGCTACGGTATCCTCGTTCACACTGCTGTGGGTGGACAGAGGAAAGGAACATTTGATAAACTTGACTCTCCAACACACCGGCGTCCTGTACTAGTGACGAATTGGCACGTTCTGTTTACGCGACAACTCTGACTAGTTGGCTGTGTCGGGTGGCAGCGGGTTTATAACGACACATTTAGATATTTACACGATCTAACCCAAACAAAGCAAATGCCCCCCCCCCCTCTCCCCTGTGCCATTAACCCTCTCAAAAAATGTTCCCCATATTTCAAAATGACAATGACCATTTTGACCTCTCCCGGTCGGTTAAAATGTAACCTCTCATGCCTCCAGTCATCTTCATTGCATTTGCATCCGTAATTGATTACTTTCCTTGGGTTGCGCTCATATTCATTCAACCCAAGGAACGAAAACACATCCTTTGTTCTCATTGCGATTGGCATGGTTGGCTTATTAATGACGCGAAAAGAAGTTCAACATGCATACACACAAAGATGAAGATCCCCCATAGAACCTTAGCAGGCAGTTGGGGCAAGTGCTGTTAGCGAGCACCTTGCATACATATCTGGCCATGCCTCTACATCACCATGGCATGGTGTAGAACCCTCTGGGGTTTTTTTCCACACCCAGGGGCCGGCCTTCGTGATTTTCCCACCAAAGGTGAGGCCAGAGAATGCCGACCCCTAGTGTGTGTTTGCCGTGGATCCTTCTGTAATCGGTCTTGAATTTGAGTTCACGATTTAGGAACATCTAATCACATTTTGTTCGGGATGTTCTTGCTCTGGGGGAATGGTTTTGCAGTCATTAGCTCATTGCCTTCTGAAACCAAAGACTTGAGTTTGATTCCTGCCAATGGGTAACATCAGCGGCGAGTGGTATCTGAATAAGTTGAGCCCTGCTTGAAACAAACCATTTTTATTATCGTACAAGGTAAAGCCCATAATCTAGTTTTTTTTGGGTTAGATCCAGTAAATATATAAATGTGTCGTTAAAACCCGCCACCACCCGACACAGCCAACTAGTAAGGGTTGTCACGTAAACAGAACATGCCAATTCGTCACTAGTACAGCACACCGGTGTGTTGGAGAGCCAAGCCACAACAAGGTAAAAGACCCACTGAGCTATATTGCTCTTCTCAGAAGCGACCTCGCTACAGATGATACTTAACAAGATGGCTAATCACGTGGAAATGTATGGTGGCCAAATACTTTAAACGCATGTTTACAAAATGTGTAGGGGAAAACCGGAGGACCCGGAGAAAAATGCACGTGACCACGGGGACAAAAACATACAAACTCCAAATATACAGGTGTCAGGATCTGGATCGAACCAATGATCACCTGTATACCAAGCAAGGTAGTTAACACCGCACCGCCGTGGCGCCCCTTTACCAACACACATTGACCAGGGTGGTGAAGTATGATTAAACAACCCCCATGAACAATACAGCACGAGTAGGGAAGGTATTCATCCAACAGTGGGTTGACAAAGTAAATAAATCATCTTCTTACTCTAGTATACTGGCTCGTACTGTAATGTGCTCTTGGCCACAGACCCCTGTGTGTTTGGTCTTGTGTTGCTCTTGGGTGGATTTTATCTGGCCAATATGGATGGCCTGCCACGTGCAAAATTATTCCAGAGGAATTGGCCAAAAATCCAAAGTTAGAATCCTCCTAAAATAATAGTGTCTTGAGATCCATTGAGGCAGTTTGTGTTTGCCATTGAGTGGCAGATAGAAGGAGGAAACACACGGATTAGAGAAAGCACACGTCGGCTATAAACCCAATTAAACCTGTTAGTAAAAGTAAGTAGGCTTGGCCAGGATGCATCGCTGGAAGCAATGATGGTGGCCAAGAACGGTGATGGAGTTGATTGCCAAGGAATGGGAATTCGTCCCAGAGTGCATTCATGAAGGATATAGTGATAACATTAGCTCGTGTGCAGGTCCTAGGTGTGGCGGATGGTGAAGACTTGGGAAGGCCTTCATTCAGCAGTGGATTTATCATGGCTGATGATGAAGATGATAGCCGTTCCCCGTACTGCACTCACACACATTGTATACCCTGGTCTCATCCGTTATTTAGGAGTGTAAGCATCTGTGATGCAGAGAAAGGTCAGCTCCGTCAACACTATAGTATTCCCCAATGTAGATCAACAATTACGGAATTGTGTAAACACATGTGTGGCATGTCTAAAGGGCGAATCAATTGCCGCCGTCTATTTGTGGTGGGCCGATTTAAAAATCGATGCTCGCTTGCCTGGCTTTGCAACTGCAATATGCAAGTTTCATCGGAGAAAGCGTTGGCTTTTTGCGACCTACATCTCTGCAGTGTAGATGTGGACTGCAATTTATGAACCGTAATAGGAATTTACAGCCGTTTGTCCATCCACTGGTTGATTGACAAAGGGCCCTTCTTTTGACCCCTCTTCACCATTTTAAACTATTCAACTATATTCCTTTTTAATTATACCAGGTAATGCCCACTGAGCTATATAGTGCTTTATCAAAAGCGACCTGGCCACAGATAATTAATAGCTCTACAAAGTGGCTTGGCATGTGCACATTTATTGTAGCCAAATACTCTAAACGCATATTTCTAAATGTAGAGGGAAAAACCAGAGGACCCGGAGAAAAATCCATGCGACCACGGAGAGAACATACAAACTCATAATATACAGGTATCAGGGTCGAGATCGAACCCATGCCCTCCTGTATACCAGGTAAGGTAATTAACAGCTCTCCACCACGGCGCCCCATGCTTGCTGATAAAGGCAACGGGAGCATGATGCAAACGCCCCTTTATCGATCCACTGCTGGATGAAGGCCTCCCCGATTCATGTGCCAATCAAAGAAGTTGATTTGACCATACTTCACCACATTGGTCGGTGAGTGCGGTTAGTGAAGGTGGTCACTCGGGACCGGTTCGGGTGTTACTCGCCATCGTTGTCGGCCTTGGCCAGGATTCGAACTTGGATCGCCGGGTTCATGCCACAGTGCGCCAAGGAGCTCTAGAGTTCATTACCTTGTATAAAGAGCCATCTAATAGAATTGTAATTAGCGCAAGGAGTGCCTCGTGCTAAATGTAGCAGGTGTGTGTACTGTACTGTAGCGACGGCAGGAGATGAAAATGAGCCACATTGAGATTTAAAACATGCATTCAGGCGAGAGCTCTTTGCGTGCGAAATCCATTCAAAAAATAGTACAAAACGCAGTCCAAGCTCGTATTACCATTTCAATGAATGTCATTAAATACACAGAATATGTTGCCAAAAAAGCAGTTTTTAACATAATCTGTGTAAATAATCTCCATACGTTTTGTTTTGCAGTTTTTTGTATATTTTATCTTTGAAGAAATGCACACATTTTTACTGTTCCTCGTACAAAGTGAGAATAATCCAGTTGCATCCGTCCAGTTTAGCAACGAATGCCGGTGGGGAGGGGCTGGGTGGGGTCCGTTTGGGTTGGTGAAGGGAGTGGAAGACAGATTACAGCTCTGATATCACATGCCAATGATCTTAGTCGGCTGGGAATTGATCTAAGCTAAAGTATTTAAACGGTAAGGTCCACAGAGCTATATAGCTATATTTCAGAGGTGACCTGGCCACAAATGATAGCTCAACGAAGTGGCTCATCATTGTGTGGAAATTTATAGTAGCCAAATTATCTAAACGCATGTTTCTAAATGTGGAGGGGAAAACCGGAGGACCCGGATGAAAATCCACGTGGGAGAGACACATGCAAACTCCAAATATACAGGCATCAAGGTTGGGATCGAACCTACGACCTCCTGTATACCAGGCAAGGTAGTTAACATTTTACCACCGTGATCTCTGGATGCTGGATTGACAGTGCAATGTGCTAAACACTGCCACCACTCCCATCCATGTAGCTGGTGTACGTAATCGGTTTAACGACATAAAGCGGTGTGGCAGTGGTTTGCACACCACGCTATGAACCCACCGACCTGTGTTCGATTCGGTAAATGATATTTTACTGAAACAGTCAGGCTAATGGGATGAACATTTCTACACGAATACTGTAAGATGTAGAAAAATGACACACGAATAATTTATTCTTTAATATCTTCATGTCTCCAAATCTTGGCAATTCATAATATTACTGGGGAGAGGAATGGTTACAAGACTAATATTAAGTAGGATGGCCAAAGTGATTTCTTGCTCAAATGAACATTCTGGTGGTGCTCTTCTCATGTGTGCAGCCCTGAGCCAGCGGTCGAAATTCCACATTCTTATGGCAAGAGAGAGGGTCTCTCCGGGGGAGAGAAAAAACGTAGACCTGCCCACAAAGTGGTACAATTTTTTTGCCCCAGAAGGATGATAGCAAGAGTCAACCCGCAACCAGAGGAATTGAACCTCGCAATCTTCCAGTTGCGAGCCACTCACTCAGCGGCTGAACGCATTTTATTCTTCGTTTTCTGCGCAGGTGAGATTGTGCGGGTTTTTTTCCATGTTCTTTTCCTTCCTGTAGATCCTGACACAATGTTGTAGCTTAATAATTGCCTGCGTCAGAGATGTTTGAAGTGGATATGGGAACGCGTGCTTCACCAAGCCATCGTAAGGGTGGTAAACATA